TATACTTGTGTCACTTTGTTATGCCGGTCCCCAAATTTATTATTTTGCCAATTGAACACTTACACTCGTTCAAATCGTGTTATAATAAACGCTTATGACAGGAGGCTACCAGTGCGTGTAATACAATCTTCTACACGTAGGACGCCACGTCATTACTAGTGCACTTTATCGATTATTCCACGTCATTGTTTATGCCTCAATAAACAACCTCATAGCCGCCATTACAACCTCTTTCTTTATCTGACCACCGTGAACCATTCCCTAACCACCAACAAAGATTGCGCTTTCAAAATTCCACCCCGTAACAGAAGATTTCCTAAGGGAGGCAGTAACACCGAAGCGCGCAAGCGCACACAATAGCTGCAAATCTTCAACAAAAAGCAAAACTCGAGATATGCAAGAACACTAAGTAAAAAATCAAAAGCCGTTGGGGTAGTGAACGCCCAATGATTCGGACTCATTAGCGGCGAATTTGTAACCTTGATTCACCAAGTTATTTCAGTCAACCTAACCAAAACAAGTGCAATAGAAAAACAGTAACGAGAGAGAGCCAAGAGGATGTTCGCCCAAGGATATGAGTTTCGCCGAAAAGTGTACAAATACCAAACAGTAAGGGCCACCAGACAAATTATTCTGGCGTGACCAGTTCCAAAGAGCGAAACACAACAACAATAACCAAAATAGATCCGTTCGTCAACCTAAAGAGTCGTCGGAATCAGTGACGCTACTACCACGGGTAGGACACTGGAGCATCGTTGTAGGAGGAACGAAACTCGCCGGAACCCTAATTAGTTGGGTTTTGATTAAACAGAAAAAGAAATGAGAAATGTAAAAGATTCTTTTGTTAAATAAATAGAGAAAAATAGTATATTTCTGCCTAATTTTGTGATTTTGAAGGCTCATTCATTGTTTACAGTAATGTAGAGGGGAAAAGAGGGAGGGGGAAAGAGGGATTGGGGCGCGAGAAACCGAAAAAGAAGAAAATTGGGAGGGGGAGGGTGGTAATTTTGATTAACTTATTAACTTTACTTTTTTTTAAGTTTAATTCATTTTTAATCAAATACATTAGTATCACTCTCTTTACACGCGTGTGTTATACATAATTTGTCCACTTCAGCTATGTCAATGCGACATAAGCTCGGTCAATGGTCAGGGGATTTAAAAAATTAGTTTTGAACGAGTGTAAGTGTTCAATTGACAAAATAATAAGTTTGGGGACCGGCATGACAAAGTGGCACAAGTATAAGTGTCATTTAGGCTATTCTGCCTTTAATCAATAATGACCCTTAAGTATAATTTCATTTATGTTGATTAAACTCTAATTTTAATATAATAACATTCATATAATCTCACCGTCTATCTGAATGAAACTTCTTCGATATTTAATCAATAATGACCCTTAAGTATAATTTCATTTATGTTGATTAAACTCTAATTTTAATATAATAACATTCATATAATCTCACCGTCTATCTGAATGAAACTTCTTCGATATTTAATCAATAATGACACTGTTAGGGGGGCCGCTTATGTATTTGGCAAATTATTCTGAAAATAGTTTGGGATTGGGGAATAATAGTATAGTTCTGAAAATAGTTGAGAGAAGCTGCTACCATATGCTCTGAACTCAACAATATTAGAAGTATCTCTTGTATAACGTTAGATTAGAAGATGGCAGAGGATTCGATTTGATGGTCAGAGAAAGTCAAAGTTTTTAATCGAGATAATCACTTTTTCCTCATAAAATAATCAAAAGCAGTTCCAGGTTGTCAAGTCGAGCAAAGAATTAGGTGTACTGTACTGTACTACTATTGCCAACTGCATACTTTTAGGCACCCTTTACACCCCATGGTACTGACTTAGGTTTTTATAACATAGTAGATTCTATGTATATAAATATCTTATTAAGTAAAATATATTCCTATTAATTTAATTTAATTTGAATAATCAGAAAGAATGAAGCAAAGGGTGTAATATAAAGAGGAGGTTATCTGTCTCTTTACAAGTTTGGGGAGCCTGAGAATTTTGTTCATTTAGACTAAATATTAAGTTCAATTAATTGAGGATAACAAATTATTTTCCCTTATCTCATGGTTAAACGTTCCTAATAATTGTGTGTAGCATTATGGTTGAAATTCATCTACGTTAAATCAGAAACCTCTGATTTGGCATGAGAATGGAGAATCTTTCGACAGAGAGTAGTTTATCTCATAGTTAGTATTTAAATTAGAGGAAATAGTAAACTTCAAATAAAGAATGGTTAAACTGAAAAACATTGTATTAAATTAGCAAAAAATATCGGTCCAGTTATTTGTCAGACATTTTTCACTAGTTTATTCAACAACCATCTAAATTCACTTGATACAACCAACGCAGATTTTGTCGAACTCGGGTTCTTATCATATATATCAAAAACAACTTCTAGTTCATTTCTTTTAAGCAATTTTGGAAATTGGTACCCTGTCTCATCTCAACTTTTTTATTTTTCGATTTTGGAAATTAGTTCAAATCAACAGCTCATTATGCCACCAAATTTGACTGTTCTTTTAGGTTATATGAAAGAAATGTAGGCACCATTAATTGTAGTTATCACAATTATGGAAGTACTATTCGAGCTAGTATTTGTACTAATCAAGTTCGTTTAGCAAACTTAAACCTAATTATGGCCCAGACTAGAGGGGTGAAGAGACCAGAGAACAAGCTAGAAACGAATAGTCTGTTTGGCCGAGTTTCTAAAATCAATTTTTTTTTAGAATTGTTTTTTCAAAAGTATTTTTTTAAAAAGTGCTTTCAGTGAGAAGTAGTTTGTGTTTGACTAATTAATTTGAAAAGTACTTTCGAACTGTAATTAGTGTTTGACCAATCTTTTGAAAACTGCTTCTAAGTATATTTTTCTCAAAAGTGCTTTTCAGAAAAGTACTTTGGGAGAGAAATTACTTTTTTCTGCTTCTCAAAAACTGCTGATGCTTCTCCTCAAAAACACTTTTTTTCTTTCCAAAAACTGGGCCAAACAACTCAATTTTGCCAAAAATACTTTTGGCAAAAATAAAATAAAAATACTTTTGACCCAAAAATAAACTTGGCCAAAGCTAGAAATCTTTGAATTTATAATAAAACAAAGGAGATAAAAAAAGCAAATGCCAGCTATTCCTACATCAATAATTGAGATGTTAGTAGTAGCATGTGTAGAAGATGATATTTGACGTAAAATGTGGTGGGTACTTTTGGTACTTGAAAGCTCAGTGTCCTGCTGCTTTTTTCTTTTCCTTCGTGGGACCCGCCTTGTAATATATAGAGTACGAATTTATAAGGAATAATGATACTGCATAGTCTGTTATAAAAATAATAACCAAGAAAATATATAAAAGTTATATATATTTTTTTTGTATATAATACATTATATATGTTATATACAAAAATTATACAAATTTAATATATTTTTTCGGCTATCAAATATAAATAATTTATGACGAGGATTAAAAGTGATAATATCTCAATTTATAATACGTATATAAAAACACATATACTATACTAGAAATAGAAATTTGAAACTAAAAAGGAAGTAGTGGACAAAAAATAGGTAATGCCGGAGGAGCTAACATTTGTGGGTAATGAAGAAATGGACAAGTGGTCTCGGAGGAGACGCTTCTACTGTCGGGGGACAGTGCCTCACTGTTGCCACTACTAACTTCACGCCAATCCTTTTTTGGATTAGGTTTTGTATCACAGTTCAACACACGCACTCAATATAGTTTCTTTAATTAGTATTTTATTACTACTACTTTCTCCCTTTCATTTTATACATAACTTTGCCTAAGCACAGAGTTAAAAAAAAATGAGTGAAAGATTATTTACACGGAATTAAACTATTCAAGATAGGCGTAAGATTTTGTTACACACTACCCTCCCGAGAATGTTGTTATTGTTGTATACTTGCTCAAATCTGACCACAATGTCAGGAAGAAGATTCATTTTTGCCATTGACCCAACGGAATTCGAACAAGAAATAGAGGATAATTTTAAAGCATATCCAAACGTAGAGGGATAATGAAATGGTGAAATACAAAGTAGCAACCCTTATCAATAAAAACACTCATTTGTCAAATAAATGACTACCTTATCCCTTTCCAAGTTGGTACATCTCATAATCCCATCTTCTATCTCCCAAGTCCAAACCCATGTAAATAGAACTTCTCTCTATAAATAATATTTTCACCTGGCCTAGTCAGTGAGTACGATAGATTGATATTCGCACAAGGAAGCACCAAATGGTTCTACTGGAGAATATTTTGTTCTCCGAAAACTGTATACATGAGGCCATCCAATATCGGCGTTCCAAATATCAGTTAGCATTAGCAACTCTACATCAATATTTGGAGAACACAAAACAACATAACTCTCTAAAAGAGTACTTTCCATAAAAATAAAAATTGTAACGACCACAAAAATAGCTTTAGAGGACTTTCATGTGGATAAAGAGAAAATTCATAACGTGAAAACGAAACATAATCTTTTGGTTCTTCTCAGTGTCTTATCAATATCCCACACTCGTTATATTCTTTTCCATCTTTGACTCTGCAGTGGAAAACCAAAAAAAGGGGAAGTGGAGAAGGAAAGTAATTCTCTACTCAAACTTAAAGCGGAATTGAACTGCCATGTCCAAAGCATACTTTTTCCTTTACTACTGTCAAGAACATAAGCAACATGATCCAGTGATACGTCAAAGTTCAAACCTTGGGATCTGCACACAACACTTTTACTTTAACGTCATTCAAAATTGTCTCCCTTCTGCACAAGAGACCAATCCTTCCCATTCAAACAGATTCCTTATACTTTCAGACACCATTTCAGCCTTTTGTCTTCTCAAAATCCTAGTAAAGCCAAAGCCAAGATTCATCATGTGCTTTCCCCCCCTTTTTTCTCCACTTTACTTGCAGTACAAATATTCCCACCCCTTTTTTCTCCATCACATAGAAAATAAGAATGAAAAAAGAATAAAAGAGGAAAAACATTGGGGTTCTCAAGCTAATTACCTCAAGAATAAAGGGATAATAACTAAAAGATGTGTCTAAATTTTCCTTTAAGAAAAAGGTGAAAATGTTGGGAAAACTTCTATTATTCACACCATATTATGTACAATCTCTGTGCTATACAATCACAGGCCGAATATTGAACCAAAAAACAATCCTTGGACTTGTTACAATTCTGGCTGTCACAACATCCCAGCTTTATGATGCCGCCACTACAAAGCAGAAAATGAAAAAAATATGTCAAGGTTGAAGACAGAAGAGATAGAGCCACTTGCATGAATCATTAGATACTGCGTAACATTTCTGTGTTCATAAGAAATACTCCTATTTAGATTAGCTTTGACAGCAGTAAACAATGTAACCAAAACTTAGTATTGTTATCTAGGTTTAACCTTCGTTGACCTTAATTTCCAGAAGTTCCTCAATGGGTTGGCGGCATATAGGGCACTTATTTGATTGATGCCTCAGTGCTTTGGCGCATTCACTGCACAAACACTGCAATTTTGAAATACCAGAGTTAAATGGACATCAAAAAGGAAAGAAATTGAGAATATAAGATAAGACACAACTTTAAAACAAGAGAACTTCCTGCTGAGAGACTATACCTTCTTTCTCCTGCTTTCCTATATTTTATCGTTTTTCATTTCAATTAATGTAATGGCAATTAATAAGTCTCCACAGGAACTCAAAGGAGAGATCAAATGATCAAATAAAGCATCCTCAAAAACTACGACATTAAACAGTCCGCAGCTAGCATTTAGTTGATGATAAGGATAATCCAAATCCTAACAGATCTTTCTCATCAACGTAATCCATTTACCTCAAGCTACACTAGCTAGAGTCCTAGTTATAGTCACACTCAAACTCTTGTGAATATCTCTATTGTACTTATCTATTTAGATTGAACCCTTCTGAATTTACTATATAAATTGTACATGGTTGAGGCAATAGAAACAATCATTTTCCTACAGATATTAAGATTCTTTATGGTACCAAGAGCCTTCTAAAAACTCACACGAGTTACTCCCTTATTTTTTCAGAATGGGTGATTCATAGACTCACTCTTCAGCCACCTTGTCTACTTTCCCCACCGTCACAATCAGTCATGGGAACATTGCTTAGCCATCCCAATTAATTTCATTCAATCCAGCATCCCAACTCCCCTTGAAATTGCAAGGAAGCTCCAACTACTGCACTTGGAAATCACAAGTCATAACTCTTCTCTTTGGTTATGATCTTCTTGGGTATGTGGATGGGTCACTTCCCTCTCCATCTGTGCATATCCAAGATGGAGCAAACAATGAATTTCCCAACCCCGCGTTCAAGCTTTGGCAGAGACAGGATAGCCTTGTCCGCAATGCTATCATGGCCCGCAACAGAATTCCCTGGCACTGATGAAATAATTGTTGGAGATGGTAAAACCATTCCGATTACTCATATTGGTCACACTACACTTTCTTCATCTCATAATTCTTTTAAGTTACAGAATGTTCTTTGTTCCCCATATATAAAAAAGAAACTAATCTCTGTTGCTCAATTTTGTCGTCAAAATCTAACATCCATTGAATTTTTTCCTTATTCTTTTCTTGTGAAGGATTTGAGCACGGGGGCATGTCTTCTGCAAGGTCGGAGTAAAGGTGATCTCTACGAATGGCCACCAACCAGTGTCTCACCCCCTTAACTTTGCTACTCAATCATCACCGTCCCTGCACCTTTGGCATGCTCGTCTTGGCCACCCTCAACCTCGTATCACTAAAGCATGTGTGTTCTCATTCAAGCTTCCAGTGTCAATTAATGCTCCTTTTACCCTTTGCAATTCATGTCTATGTAATAAAAGTCATCGTTTCCCATTCGTGTGACAATTCTATTTCTAGTTCTAAGCCATTTGATGTTATTTATTAAGATGTTTGGGGTTTATCTCCAATTCCCTCCTTTGACAACTTTCGATTCTATGTTATCTTTGTTGATCACAAATAAAGCAGATGTTAAAAGTATTTTTATTAACTTCACTCGAATGATTCATAATCAGTTTAGTGCATCCATCAAGACACTATACACAGATGGATGAGGTGAATATATTGGTCTTAAATCTCTCTTACTGGAAATGGGCATTCAGCATCTCATGAGTCCTCCATATACTCCTCAAATAGTTGGAACTGCCGAAAGAAAACATAGACATGTCGTTGACACTGCCCTGACCTTACTTCATCATGCCTCGGTACCACTCAAATTTTGGTCCATTGCATTCCAAACTACAGTATTCCTCATTAATCGACTACCAACACCTTTGCTCAACTTAAAATCACCATTTCAGTGTTTGTTCAATACCACACCTAATCATCACAAGCTCCGGGTTTTTGGTTGCCTTTGCTATCCTTGGCTTAAACCTTACTCTAGCTCCAAACTTGATACAAAATCAAAACCTTGTGTCTTTATGGGGTACTCCTCTGTCACTAACAATTTTGCTTGCCTAGATCTCTTGACCTCAAAATTATTTCTCTCCCGACATGTTATCTTTGTCGAACATGTTTTTCCATTCAAGTTGAACTTCCCTTCCCTTGATCGCGCTTCAACCTCCAACTTGGAGTTTTGGCACTGTCCAGTAGCTTCCTCCTCCTCATTTTCCCTACCTTATACCAATGAATCATGCATTCCACCTCCTATACCTCAAGACATCAACATGGTTGTCCTAAGGACTACTCAAGAGATCACTGCAACTCCAACTACTGCAGAGGATGTGTCACCAAGTACTGTTGTAAGTACCTCAGCTAATTCACCCTCACTCTCTACTACAAGCATGCCCAACACCATGTCTCCTGTTGCACAATATCCTTTGCCTCCGCCACAACCTTTGCCACCTGCTCCTACTCACTCTATGGTCACGAGATCCCAGAACAATATCTTCAAACCAAAAGTTGTCTTTGACTTTCTTGCTATCTCTTCCACCAAACCGCTTCCTCTTGCTCCGACAACTTTTGCCCAAGCAAACAAGTATCCTGAATGGAAAACAACCATGAAGGATGAATTTACTGCCCTTATGAGAAATTCCACCTGGACTTTGGTTCCCCCATCTCCATCTCAAAATGTAGTTGGTTGCAAGTGGGTTTATCGTGTCAAGCATAAACCTGATGGGTCTGTGAATCGCTACAAAGCGAGATTAGTTGCAAAGGGTTTTCATCAACGACCTGGGGTAGACTTTCATTCCACTTTTAGTCTTGTGATCAAACATACTACAATACGTTTAATCCTTGCGCTTGCGGTGTCGTTTAAGTGGCCCTTGCGACAATTAGATGTGAACAATGCCTTCTTACAAGGTACACTTCATGAAGTTGTATACATGAATCAATCACCCAGTTTTAGGGATCCTAAATTTCCACCACATGTATGCAAGCTTCATAAGTCAATATATGGCCTTCGTCAAGCACCTAGGGCATGGTACAACGAGCTCAAACAATACCTTCTGTCATTTGGTTTTCAAAGGGCTAAATCTGATGACTCTTTATTCCTGAAATGTACTACCACCTCATTACTCTTTGTGATGGTCTATGTCGATGATATCGTCGTCACTGGTTCTAACTCTTCTCATGTCCAAAGTACCATCAAACTACTAGGTAACCGGTTTTCCATCAAAGATCTTGGTTCTTTACATTTTTTCCTTGGTGTTGAAGTCTTGGAGCATGCTCATGGTTTGGTTCTCACCCAAAGCAGCTTCATCGCTGATCTTCTGGAAAGATTCGGCATGCTCGATGCGAACAGTGTTAGCACTCCGATGTTAACCAATGAACCTCTTTCACTTGATGATGGATCATCATCTGCAGATGCCAAGTTATACAGACAAATTATCGGTTCCTTACATTATCTAACATTCACTCGTCCAGATATATGTTTTGCAGTGAACAAACTTGCTCAGTTTCAGCATCGACCAAGCCTGAAACATTGGCAAGCGGCCAAGAGACCTCTATGCTACTTGAAGGGTACCATTACTTATGGTCTTCACTTTACGCCCGCCACTTCTTTCAAGTTGCTAGCTTACTCAGATGCTGATTGGGGTGGTATACCAGACACCAGGCACTCAACTTCTGCCTATGTTATACTTCTTGGCAATAATCTAATAAGTTGGTGCTCCAAAAAGCAACGCACAGTTGCTAGATCGTCTACTGAAGCAGAATATAGGGTTGTTGCTTCTGCTGTAGCTGAGCTTAATTGGATCACAAACCTAATGAAGGAATTGCATGTTTCCATGTCCAGCCCTCCGAAGGTACTCTATGACAATATTGGTGCTACCTATTTAAGTCGAAATCCAGTCTTTCACAGTCGAATGAAGCATGTGGCCATTGATTTTCACTTCGTCCGCGACCAAGTAGAAAGAAATGAGCTTTCAGTAAGTCACATACCTACTGGGAGTCAACTTGCTGATGCTTTGACAAAGGCACTGCCTAAACGATCATTTGGACAATTCATTCACAAGATTGGCCTCAAGGAGATTGAGCCCATCTTGAGGGGGCATGATAAGGATAATCCAAATCCTAACAGATCTTTCTCATCAACGTAATCCATTTACCTCAAGCTACACTAGTTAGAGTCCTAGTTAGAATCACACTCAAACTCTTGTGAATATCTCTGTTGTACTTATCTATTTAGATTGAACCCTTCTGAATTTACTATATAAATTGTACATGGTTGAGGCAATAGAAACAATCCTTTTCCTACAGATATTAAGATTCTTTACTAGAAACCCTCAATATATCTCTCCCACTTCTTGCAAATGTCTAATGCTCATAAAACATAATGTCTATTTGTCTTTCTTTTATTTCGTATTTTTGGGGATGGGGGTGGGGGTGGGTGGGGGGTTAATGTTGATCACTCCCTCCTTCCCACTTATGTCACATAATATAGAAGAAAAAATACGAAGTTGTCACAAATTATTACCTCGAGTTATTTACCATTCTGAGCATATTAGCCTATTACGTAGTGTTTGAGAAAGGAAATGCTAAAGCGGAAAATGAACTATAAAATTATATAACCATTAGCGTTTTCACGTGAATATATTGTTACAGATATCTGCTGAAATAGGTCAACCTTTATCTCCACAAAATTTTCTATAAAGTGTATAAAAAGGCATACATAGATGTGTCCCATAGACTCATATAGTCCAGTAAGGCAAGTTAGCCATGGCAAACGCTTCAGAAGGCAGACTAATAAAGATCACATCCTGCTGGCACAGACATATTTCTTTAGCCTTAAACTCTTCTGACTAGTGAGAGACTGCGAGTCAATTTTACATATACTACAGATTTCCAATAATTATAAATCCAGAAGTAGTGAATTTTTTAAGCTTTCCAATGAGAAATAAACGTAGTAGAGGTAACATCCTATTAAAATTGATCAAAAGCATTTGGTAGTCATTTGACCCCTCTTGAAATTCGAGGGCCTTATCCCCAACTCCAGCTCTGGAGTTCATTATATTCCCCAATGTCAACCTCCAATAAAGACTGAATTCCAGTATGTTACTGGGAGAACCAAGTCTGCCAAATTGCAAAAACAATTATTGGTTTGATCTTCTTCTTTTTTTCTATGTGTGTGTTGTGGGGTGGGGGGTGGGGGTGGGGGAATTAATTTGTTGTTCTTAAGTAATGAAGCAACATCTATAACCTAAAGATTCGTAAAAGATTTTCAAACTAGAAGCACGGCCAACAATGAGTGGATGTGCGGGTGCAGACTAGAGACATCAGAGATGGCCAAGTTTTCCAAAAGTCTACTATATCATCAATATTCACAAAAACCTATGGCCCATCATATGCTCCAGTAAACTCTATGAGGAGAGGAGCCATCAGTTTTTTTTTCCTTTTTGAGAGGAACGGCTTTACACAAGTGTAAAATCCAACACTACTTCTCAAGAGGTTATTGATATAAGTATGATCCAAGAGTAATATGCACCAGATTCTCTAAACTTATTATATATTGTTATCTTATGATATTGAAGAAATAAAGCAACTGTCGAAGTAGATGACCATACCATATGCCTACATGGCAAAACTGCTGTGTCTTTCGGCTCAGTCATGCAAATCACGCATTCTTTTCCTGACTCCTCATCATTGACAGTAGTTTCATCTGAATTGCTGATACCATAAATCTCTCGCAACTCATAGCGAACTCCTTCAATCCATAAAATCTGCTTGATCACTTTCACTAGGAAATGATCCTCATTATTCTTCACTAGCACAGCTTCAGTTATCTGTGCATGGGGAGACTTATCCAGTGATTGCTCATCATACTTCTCGTCTGTTAGTTTAGATGGACGACATGACTCTGCTGATATAATAAGCGGGAAAATTTCTTCTCCTTGGATTGGCTTTGATAATTCATTGACGTCGAAAAACCCGAGGTCAATTCCAGTTCCTGAAGGCTGGCAAAACTTTTGGCCCAGACCTTTTTCAAATGGTATTTGAACAGGCTTGATTTCAGGATATACTGGACTGAATTTGCAGTTGGCCCCTTCCTTCGCAAAGTAGAAAATGGTGATACTGCAGGCAAAGGACAAAGGAAAAGAAATAAATGTTATTCTTCATTTTTTGGTCAAAATAATAGTAAATGCTATTTTATGAAACATCAACTGAGTGCCAGACTAGGAGAGCATAGCACCAGCATCACTAACATAAGTAAGAAGCAATCACTGGAACCAAAATACCAACAGAGCATATTCTAAAAATATTAAGTAAAAACTTTTCGAACAAGACAGCAAAATGGTTGAGAAACAATCACATTATATATAGGTTCATGAACAAATTGTCAAACCTCAACCAGAAATACTCACGCAAATTTAGCAGTGTTACAAGAAAGAAAGATCTATATTCCGTTCTGCCAGACCCAAAGAACTGATTCTTCACAAGAAAATAAACAAAATTTACTCATTCCTATTGCACAAGGCCCTTTCAATAACAGGGAAAAACCAAAAAGAGAAAATGCAGGAACTTCATTCCCCTAGAAAACTTGAAGAGAAAGACAAAAGGCTACTGCTCTATTGACACGCTATTTGTGACTCCAAAAAAGAGAGAAGCCTGGTCAGTACAATGGCCTGCTTAAAAACCTATTGCTAAATAAGGATTTGTTATGCGCCACGTACTGAAAATCTTCTCATAGAAATATAAAAACGTACCTGACTGATCTTTTCGCGGGAGATGTTCTTTATTTTAGATAATGAAAGCACTCAATTATTACTAACCCAAAGAAATATGACCTCTCTGAGATATACGGTTTATAATCAATCAGAATATAGTGAGCATGTCGCCATCCAGGAATCTGATATTTGAAAAAGCGGCTGATCCAGAAGAATTTCCAAATATCTATCCTTTTGTGGGGTTTGTCCTCTCAAACTAGGGCTTAAAGAAAAAGAGGAAACAACAATTTTCTTATACAATAATAAAGCAATATTAACTCAGATTTTTATGTCATTTGATCTTTCACAGATGATCTCCTTAGACTACATACAAACCAACCAGTAACAGAGCTAGTATTTTCACTAAGGGCGGTCAAAATATAAAATAAACACACAAAAAAGCCAAGGGATTCAACATATTTTTTTTTTATATATACATATATATGGAAAAAAATGGACAAATCTACATAGTATAATTTTCCGGCGAAGAGGTGCCTATTGACTCCCTTTGGACAAGGTAGCTCCACCCCTGCCCAAGCTACCATAATAGTTCAGACGTTAACACATTATTAGCCAAGAGTTCAGCACAATGAGGCTCACTGAACTAGCTAAGTTATTATTGTGGAGACCTTGAACTTAGAAGTTTTTATCTTCCAAAGTTATTGGCAGACCTTCAAAGCATTGTCATGTAGTTTTTGCCGAACAAGACACGACGATGTAAAAGAGTAACTCATAATACCTTCAATTAAACTTTTGTCAAGCCTTGGGATCGGGACTCTCACCACAACTACTAGAATATCATTCCATAGATCGTTAACACAAAAAAATTGCCTAAATCAAAATCTTAAGTAAACAGTTGGATCCAAACCAATCACCACAAAGAATGCCCCAAAGGTGCGGATACTACAAGTTCCTCTACAAGTTGTCCAAAAGTTAATTCTTACATTACCAGGTATTTGCATGGTCATTCTTGATATCCCCAATAGAAACTTGGAAAAATGCAGAGAGAGAACAGATGACTCAACATCACATGTCAACAAGGTTTGCAGGAATTTGGCATTTAATAACATGTGATTCTTTTTAAACATCTATCCACAGATACTTTACTAGCAGTTGACTTTACCCCTACAATCCAAAAATGTCAGGCTTACACAGCTTTACACAATAATATCCCTTCGATCCCTGAGTTTTAATCTCATATAATAGAAGCAAAATAATTGTATACTTCTAAACGATACCACAACAATCCATCAAAACAATTAAATCAAAGCCAATTTAGACATAATTCAGTCATAAACTTACAGCATTTATGCAGCCACTACATGAGATCATTTACAGAATTACAGATTCCTCATTAATTTTCAATTTAGTCATGCTTTTTAATCCTCCATTACAGGGGTTCCTTAGAAGCTCATTTCTATAACAAATTACAGAGTACTAACTACACAACTCAAAGGCATAATAATTAATATAAAAAAGAACCATGAAATCAAAGCAAGAGGGAAAAATGATCAGTACCTTCCATCAACAAGGGCATCAAAAGTAAAGGTAACCAAATGGGAATCCTTATTGAGCTCATCGAGTTGAATCCGTATAGTATCCTTATGAACATTAACATCATTCTTGATCTTCTTTGCATTTTGATGATCCACATACGGCACCACCGGCAACGGCGCTGGCGGAGGTCTAAACCCACCCCATCCATTATTACCGTGAGGATGATAATAAGGAGGGTAATGATTTTGATAGACTACAGGCCTACTACTACTACCATAACTGGACTGATGATTGAAACTGAAATGGTAATTATAAGAATTTGAAGGAGGTGGGGGTGGGGGGTAAGTCGGGACTACGTTATGGCGTGGAGGCGGGGGGAGTAAAGGATAGGGGTTTTGCGAGGGGGGAGGTGGTGGTGTTGTAGTTGGAGGAAAGGAGTAGCTTGGGTGGGGAGGTGGTGTAATAGGAGGGAGGGGCGGAGGAATGGAAGAAGACGGTGGCGGTAGTGGCGGAGGAGGGCGGTGGAAGTGATGATTTTGTTGCCTTTTACTCAAAGAAATTCCCATTTTTTTTTGCTTAGGGAAGAAGCAGCAGAAGACGAAGAAAAGTTTTGAAGAAATCAACGGAAAATTAGAGCAGAAGATGGATGAAAATGTGGGACCCACGCGGGAAGATTTGGTCTGATCAACGTTTGAAGGGAAATAGGCAGGATGTTTAGGTGTTGAAGAAAAATTAAATTATTTGCGTTTGTACAAAAACTTGATTTCTTTTTTCAGCCTTTGTTTAATAAAAAATAATAATTCAGCCTCTTCTTTAGAAATTCGGCTATTACAATCGCTAGTGAAGTTAAAACGTCAGATTATGATTAATCCCATATTATGATGACAAGAATATTACTTTATGTTAAGAATTTTTTTTATATTGTTATTTTATGTTATTTTGATTCTAGAATATGTTACCGTTTGGCATTTTTGTGTTCTAACAGTGTCTAGAAGTACATCTTCTTTTTATTATAAATTATTTTACTTTGTTTACAGAAAAAAGGCTTGATCTTATTAAATTGCATTTTTTTTCGTCTTATCAAGTTGCAGGTGTACTTGTAAATTTAGTAATAAAAAGACTTTTGTTTGAACAAAACAAAGAAAAATCTAAATAGTATATAAAGTAAGTATTTAACTTATTATTCAAAAGGATAAAGCGTTTAGTAAAAGATATAACTTTTGCTATTTATGAATTTCTCTTAACAAGGATTATTGGCATTCTTTTCTTCGCCGGTGGCAATTAAAAACATATAATTAAATAATATAATATTAATATTGTTATAATGCCATCCTGATCAAGATCAAATAAAACAATTTGACTGAAAATTGAGGATCTCGAAACCTAGTTTTGGGCTTTGACCAAAGAAATGTACATAATTTACTTCTCATTAGGTTTTAATAATCTCTTAACGGGTCGTTTGGTTTGAATACGGCTTATGGCGGGATAAGTTATACTGAGATTAGTTATTCTGGTATTATTTTTTATCTACTGTTTGGTATGTTGTATTAAAAATGACAATTGCATAATTTCTAAGAAGAAGGTATAAGTTATCCCGGCACTAATTATCCCACCCTATATAAGGTATAAGTTATCCCGGTACTAATTTTAATCCCGAGATAACTTATACCATATTTGCTAACCAAACAAAGTATTAAGGTAATATTAAATTTTTATACTACTAATATACCTTCTTATACCTCGTACCCAAACGACCCCTAAATTGATAATTAATTATCACGTTTCCTCGTGGTTTTCACGGTTCTGTTTGTTCCCGTTTATTTATTCATCACTTTGTTGTATAAATTATCAAAATTATGAGTAGACGGTTGAAGAAATGAAATGCCCTATAAGCGTTGGACTTTTAGATTTATTTTTTTTAAAATTAACCTAAATAGCCGTCCATCCAACTGATTAAACTAAAAATAGCCGACGAATATAATTATGTATAACGATTAAAAAAAGTAAATGTGAATCCGACTGAACTATTTTAGATTGGAATCTTTACCCAAATGGCCATCCATATTCATTGCTAATCGATCCATTTCTCGTAAAGTTTTTTCTTAAGCCCATTGTTGGTCCATCTCATATTTACATCTTTTGTAGACGCAAGTTTTGGACAATGTATTTGAAGCCGAAGTAAAAATACAGTATTTGGAGGTACAATTGTGCTTAGAAATTTAACATCAACAATGCAGGATAAGTTTGCGTACAATAAATTCTTGTGGTTCGGTCATTACTCAGACCCTGCGTATAGCGGAAACTTAGTGAATCGGACTGACTTTCTATCTTAAATTTCCCAACAATTATTTCGGTCCATATATTTGATTTCTTCTACGCCCGTCTTAGACCAAGATACGTCCATTTCTCTTAGAGCTTTCAAACCCATTTTAGGTCCATCTTATATAAGTCTCAAAATAGATTTGTTTTGCAAACAATTGCAAGGGGTGGTCTTAGTGAATTTTCTCCGCAATTAATGTTATTTAATAAGTATCTCCCTCGTGTTGTAGGCTTCGGCTAAGATCTATCGACATGATAGAATTCTGTACTAAATGTTACTCCCTCTGGTCCATAATAAATGATTTTTTTTGGATATTTTCACACAGATTAAGAAATTCATCTTTTAACATTAATTACCAATGAAATTGACCATATTAACCTTAACTATCTCTTCACATAAACACCCCTAACACATACTCCAATATTATTTACTCAAAGGGCAATGTAGGAAAAAAAATAATTACTTCATTCTTGAAATCTGGAAAAATCACTTATTTTGGACCATAAAAAAAGGCCAAAAAATCACTTATTTTGGACCGGAGAAAGTATATAGTAATATAATATTTATAGTTAAAAAGTTCTACCATTTTGTCATACCGTTCAATACCAAATTGTAGTTTCGAAAACTACTTTGTCGAATAACACAAATAAATTATTTTTATTAGATATATATTGATGAAAACACAAAGTCATGTCAGTCTGATAGAGTTTGATGAATAATTGGACAAACGCAAAATCATGCCAATTAGGTAGAGTTGTGAATTATTTAATAAATATGTAAAATACAAATAGCACAAAGTTCCGCTAATTCGGTAGAGTTTGATGAACAATTAAACAAGCATAAATCAACTAGGATGAGATGTAGAAATAGCCGCTCCAGGGCCATTCTTGGATCATGTCTTTTCGAAATAGTTACGATTCTGCAGTTTAACGAAACTTTAGGATATTATATTTCAGTTACAGGGGTTGAAAATTAGCCATTTGTGAATATTTCCTGTATGATATTTTGCTTTGATCTCTTCTAGAATACCAGAACTTGTTCCAGATTTTCAATAGCTTCATCTTCTATAGATTGTGGCTAACTCCTCGAAGGGAAAATTAGAAGTCCAAGATTCCTCGTTAGGTTTTTGAATTTCCTTTAAGTCGTGTTTCAAAATCCTCTAAATAAAAAAGAAAAAGTAAAGAACATCTTAATAATCTCTTATAAGTCAGTATGGACTTTGTATTTGCCCTTTAAGTTTCGCTCCATCTGGGTCCATGCATGATCCGGGGATAATACATAAATATCCCTTGGCGTTGCGCCATTTTATTTTTATTAGAGTCCTATAACTTTCCTAACTATATTTGAAGTGTAATAAATAACACCTTTTAAAACCAATCCCAATTTCAAAAAAGAGGTGTAAATTACGCACCAATCTTTACTTGCCACGTGTAAAATCAATTAATTTTTATTTTTTTAAAATTTTCCTTTCTATTTATCTTTTCTTCTTATTTTATTCATTATCTTTCTTTTCTATTTCATTTTCTTTCCTATTTCACTTTCTTTCTTCATTATCTTTATCCCTGTAACCCACTTCCTCTTTGTGCTCCTAGATCGATGCAGGCACTCACCGAAAAATTGTTGACCAGCGAGAATAGAGGCTAGCACCAGATCATTAGTGGTGCTTGAATCTGAATTGAACAAAAGCAGTGTCATGAAGACAAAACAGACTCTCCCCTCCCCCCTCCCCGACACCCAATTAGAGCTCTCTAACAACGGAAGAAGCCATAGAAGCCCGGGACTAAGACTCTTAAACTTCTCTCATCTTTCTCAAACAAGACTCAAACTTTTCTGGCAAGTTGAAATTCTAACCTAGCATTGCAAAAATTGAAATCGTTTTTTTATTTTATTTTGAGAAATTTTTGATCTATTGAGAAATTGGTCATACTCAAAGAGTAATTTTGATGGGAAATATTAGTGCAAAGGTGTTAGATGTTAGTGAGAGTGTTGATGAATTCAAACCCACCAAAAATAAAGATTGATGCATAGGGTAAAATATGCTATGACACATGGTCGTCCGAGAAAGGGACACGTAGAACACAAGACAAGGGGATGGCTAAAGACCGAAGGCAACTATTTCGTTTATCACCGGAAAGAATAATGCTCATAAAAATGTGATAAATGCTCTTCACCCGGTAGCATTTAATAGAGAATATTCCATGGCATTAAGAGCAATTACCCGTTACAAGGAATTTGTCATTTATGTTCACCGTTATATCTTCATCAATGCCCTTCATAATTGACATTAAAGAAGGGCACGATCCTATGACCTTCTTCATAGCTATAAATAGTGAGCTCAGTTGTCATTGTAAAGGACACGAATTCTCTGGCAAGCTTACGCTATATTCTATACAAAGCTCAATATAATATTATCTTCTTACTTTTTGATTTCTTTGTTGTTGTGCCTAGAAACCTTGTTCCCGGAATTGTTGCTTCTGTCATTTCGTCTATACCCTAAGGCTAAGTATTGCATAAGTATTCTATTATTTATTTATTTTAGTATCAAATTAATTCACTTATCTAGAAACCACGTATAAATTCAACTATACCGTTTTACGGGTAAATAATTTGGCACCCACCGTGGGGCCTAGATAACCGTGTAATTAAATTGATCCTTGACTTTTTTACTAACGTGTTTTGATTATTTTTATTTTAGAAAAGATCATAAGAAATGACAGATAACACTGTTAACGACATGCACACCCCCAAAATTCGAAGGGATCAACCTCATTTCGAGGACTCAATCAGTGACACCTATAATGAGGAGAGTGATGCTACACCGGTGCATGACATGCAATATCCTCAACATATTCGGGAGACCACTCCCGATGACACTGATGAGGAACATGGCGTCGACGTGGTAAGGGTCTTGTAAGTGCAACATGCGATCATTCTAGGCCACCTCACGCGACAGGATAAATTTATGACAGAGTTGAAGCAAGTGTTGTCGAGAGCTTCAAATAATGCAAACATGCGAGATCTGATTCCTCCCGGGGTTCCCACGACTCAAACGACGCAGAGGGTCGACAACAACACTCCCATGGATGAAATTAGCTCCGATGGGGCAGGGGGGAATGAATTCGGGCTCAACAATGAGAATGATCCTTTCAAGAATAAAATTTTACGGTTCATGAGGGAAGTGAACGCCAACATGGACTAGATACTGGGCGCGCCACCAGCCCTGAAAGGCCCAGACTCGAAAAAGTATACTCAATTGTCGTACAAGCCAAGTGCGACACCAGAGTTAATCCCGAAGCGGTTCAAAATGCTTGAAGTGACAAAGTATGATAGAACTTCAGACCCACCAGAGCATATTACCACCTA